AGGAAGCAATGAATCCTTTGAAGAACATGCAAGGCAATGTGATCGAGAGTGACCCCAAGGTGGTGTAGTCACTATCTCTGGGAAGCAGGCTCTGGGACCCGGGCATCTGACATGGGCTGTGCACAGATATGTATCTTGAGGTACCATAGCTCCTTCTACATTGTGCTAGCTTTCTCTCCATTTCCCAGAAAGCACCAGTGTCTGGTATTGCTTGCAAATACCAGCTACATAACAAATCTAAATGAGCTTCCTCTATCATCCAATGTGATCAGAATGCCAAGGACTGGAATCAGTGCCTGGCCAAAGGCACAGGGAACAGAACCAGTCTGAAGCGACTCTGAGGAAGTACCTTGTATCAGTTTTAGGGCTGTGTCTCTGCACCTGTGGGCTGGGGGTTACTAGTTTTTGGCAGTTTGATTGAGGACTCTGCGTTCTGAGTTCCTATTACACATGATCGAGGGCCAGATGGAAATAACGTTTTTTGGTGTTCCTTTAGCACCTCAAATATTACAAAACTGATACCCTCCCCTTGCCCTCATCCCCGTCTCCAATCTATCACCTGTTCTTTATCTCCGCAACATTACCATCTTCCAAGATGCTTCCCAGAGGTAATCCTTGACTCTTCTGCAGTGTCTAATTAAACACCAAATCTGGTAGTTCTACCACCACAGGTGTCTTGAATGTATCCACCTCTCTCCATCCTCACTGCTGTTATCTCAGCCCATCACTTTCTGTTTATGTAAATATGACCATCGTCTCGGTCCTTCTCTTCAATTATTTACACTACAATCTGAGATTCTTTTCCAAAATAGAGGTCTAGTGAGCCTATTCCACTGCTTCAAATCCTTCCGTAACCCTATGTGCCCTCACAGAAAGTTGGAGTCCAGGACATGGTGGCTCACAGTCCCTCCATGGTGCGCCCCTGTTTGCCTCTCCAGTCCGTCCTCCACTGCAGCTCCCCGCCCTCAATCTGTAGGCTCTACCCACACCTGTTAGCCCTTCAGCGGTGCCGTATTCTCTTGTACCTCTGGTCTTCACAGACATTTCCCTCTGCCTGGAACACTTCCTTCAGTCCCACCTATCTTTGATCTGGATCAGATTTATTCCTTTTGAATGTCTAACAGTGAAACTACTTCTTCTGAAAACTTCTAGCTACACCCTATCCCCAGCCCCAAAATCTGGGTTAGGATCCCCTTTGTATGTTCTCATAACACTCTTTTGGAATTGCCTACTTACTTGTATATATGTATATATGCAAGATTGTAAATTGTATGTGAGCAATCTCTGTCTTGTTTGCTTGTTTGTTTAATTTCTGAGAGAGAGAGAGAGAGAGATAGCATGAACAGGGGAGGGTCAGAGAGAGAGGGAGACAGACTCTGAAACAGGCTCCAGGCTCTGAGCTGGCAGTCAGCACAGAGCCCGACGCAGGGCTCGAATCCACGAACCATGAGATCATGACCTGAGCCGAAGCTGGACGCTTAACCAACTGAGCCACTCAGGTGCCCCTCTTGTTTGCTATTTTATCCCCAGCAACTAGCATAAGGCCTGGCAGAATGGACCTGCCATGTATATTTATTGATTAGTGGATAGCTATGTCTCCCTTCACTAAATTCTGGTTTATTCACCTAGTCTTAAAAATATAGAAACATATATACAAAATCACCTTGTATGAATTAAAATGTCATTTGCTTGTTATGGAAAACTCCTAAAATCAGAAAAGAGTCTACCATCCATCTCAGTACATAGTAATGCCCCCTGTTATCTCCTTCTATATATATTATTTTCATTATTGAAATCACACTATGTGGGTTTTTTTAAATTATGGTAAAATATGCCAAACATAAAACTTATCATTGAACCATTTTAAGAGTGTAATTCAGTGCCATTAGGTATATCCACTGTTGGGGCGCCTGGGTGGCTCAGTCGGTTAAATGTCCGACTTCGGCTTAGGTCCTGATCTCTCAGTTCTTGAGTTTAAGCCCTGCTTTGGGCTCTGTGCTGACAGCTCAGAGCCTGGAGCCTGCCTCAGATTCTGTGTCTCCCTCTCTCTCTGCCCGCCCCCCCCCACACACACTCTGTCTCTCTCTCAAAAATAAATAAACATTAAAAATTAAAAAAAAAATGTACCCACTGTTGTGCAACCATTACTACCACGCATCTTCAAACTTTCTTATCTTCCCAAACTGAAACTCTGTGCCCAGCCAATGACAGCACTCCCTTCCCCTCCCCACAGCCTTTTTTTGGGGGGGGCGGGGGTTGTAGCAAAGTGGAAATGGCTTTCTTCTGATCCTTACATAATCCAAGTTAGCATTTCTGTTTATTTTCAAGTGGTGTAAGGATTTCATTTCTGAAGCCTGACTTTGTGCTGCATTTCCTCATACTAGGACCAACAACATATTTAGGCACCCATGAAAGTATTCTAAGTTCTTTTTTTTTTTAAGATTTACTTATTTATTTTTGAGAGACAAAGCTCGAGCAGGGGAGGGGCAGAGATGATGAGGGGGAGAATCCAAAGCAGGCTCAGCGCTGTCAGCACAGAGTCCAATGTGGAGCTCAAACCCATAAACTATGAGATCATGACCTAGGTGAAGTCAGATGCGTAACTGACTGAGCCACCCAGGAGCCCCTCTAAGTTCTTTTAAGATCCAAAGAAAATGAACTTTTAGGTCAAAGAAAATATTTCAATATAATCGTGTTTCTCTTTATAGAAATATCATCATAAAATACAATTTTAAATATTTTTTTTATTTTTTATTTTTTTTTACAAATAGTTTATTGTCAAATTAGTTTCCACATAACACTCAGTGCTCATCCCCACAAGTGCCCTCCTCCATGCCCATCCCTCCTCCCCCCCACATCCATCAGTCCTCAGTTTTTGTCAGCATTCAAGAGTCTCTCATGGTTTGCCTCTCTCCCAATGTTAAATATTTTTTAATAGAGAAATTGGATCATGAAGGCAAAAGTGCTTACAGAGTACAGTAAAAATAGTGAGGAGGAGTCACTGAAATTTTTAATGCAGGAGACTTATCCTTTGGTGTATTTCCATCGTTTAATTTCTCTTTTCTAAGCATAAATAAAGTTATCTTTTAAAATTTTTTTAAGTTTATTTATTTTGAGAAGGAGAGTGAGCAAGCAGGGGAGAGGCAGAGAGAGAGGGAAAGAGAGAATCCCTAGTGGGCTCTGAGATTTCCGCACAGAGGCCGATATGGGGCTCAGACTCATGAACCGTGAGATCATGACCTGAGCCAAAACAAAGAGTTGGGTGTTTAACTGACTGAGCCACCCAGGAGCCCCTAAAGACATTTTTCAAACATTTTATATAGCAGTATGTATGGTTAAGCGATATCCTAAATTTTTAGATTCAGAAAATTTTAAATTTCAAAGTTTAGGTAAGGTCTCTGTTTATTAGGGTGTTAAGAGGTATTGTCGGGGGCGCCTGGGTGGCTTAGTCGGTTAAGCTCCGACTTTCGCTTAGGTCATGATCTCGCGGTTCGTGGGTTCGAGCCCCGCGTCGGGCTCTGTGCTGACTGCCAGCTCAGAGCCTGGAGCCTGTTTCAGTCTGTGACTCCCTCTCTCTCTGACCCTCCCCTGGTCACGCTATCTCTCTCTCTCTCTCCTAGAAATAAATAAAAAAATTAAAAAAAAAAAAAGAGGTATTGTCGATTAGTCTTCCTAGAATGATTTTCCAATATGAAAGGACTTACATGCACATTAATTGATTGGACCATGACAAAGAACTACACCGCATGGATTTTATGTGTTTAAAGAGAATTCAGAGCACAGGGTGGCCAGAATCACATGTGTGAGATTTCAGAAATGTATGGCAAGTGTCCCTGTCACCTGGCTCTTCTATTCTCTTAATTTTGTTCACTTAAATATTCATGACATCTTGACCTTTCTGAGGGAAAGGATTATAAAACATTCTATAGCATTTGGTGCCATGTGAGCACATACTAGGCACCTATCAGAAACATTTTTTACTTGATGAGATATGCATTTAGAATTGCTCAAATTGAAGGGGCACCTGGGTGGCTCAGTTGGTTGAGCATCTGACTTTGGCTCACGTCACGATCTCACAGTTGGTGCATTCGAGCCCCATGAAGGGCTCTGTGCTGACAGCTCAGAGCCTGGAGCCTGCTTCGGATTCTGTGTCTCCCCCTCTCTCTGCCCTTCCCTGGCTCACACTCTGTCTCTCTCTCTCTCTCAATAAACAAATAAAAAATGAAAATAAAAAAGAATTGCTCAAGTTGAAGTTGTTGATGATAGGAATTAGAGTCTTATCTGTCTAATTCATCTGACTTACATTTAGAAGGATGGCTTTCCTTGAAAGCTAGAGTTAGGGAGAAGAGGAAGAATCCTAAGTCATTTATGAACTTCTCTGGGAACATAAAATTTTTTGAAAACAATCTATTTTTCAAAGAAACACAGAATCATCTTTCCTGTAGTTTCCACTCTCTTAACCTCTTTTCCTCCATCGATCATAAAAGGTTACAGGTTTTTTGAAAGTACTGAACACTTGCTTACTTGTCAAGTTAAAATAAAAGTTCTTGCCAGAGTCAGAGCTCCAAGTTGCCTGCAGGTGCCTTGAAGTGTGACCTTGCAATTATATTCAGGCTGAAGGGCACCTGGATGGCTCAATCAGTTGAGCATCTGACTCTTGATATCAGCTCATGTCATAATCTCATGGTTCATGGGCTGCAGCCCTGCGTCAGGCTCTGCATTAACGGTGCAGAGCCTGCTTGGGATTCTCTCTCTACTTTTCTCTCCCTGCCCATTCCTGGTTCTCTCTCTTTCTCTCTCTCTAAATAAATAAATAAACTTAAAAAAGAAAAAGATTCAGACTGAGAAGATTTGCCCATGATAGCCATAGGACTTCTCCCTCTAAGGCCCGTATAGCTCGATATTAAGAAATAGGTCCACCTGTAGAGACGAGAGTAAACAGGTTTCACTGGATTGTCTTGGGAAAAAATAACTTTAATTTCTTGCTTGTCTTCCAACAGTTCCACAAAGCTTCGCACTTTGGCCAGAGGTTTGTCTCCTGCGTTCCTGAGATTTGGTGGCACCAAGACAGACTTCCTTATTTTTGATCCCAAGAAAGAACCAACCTTTGAAGAGAGAAGTTACTGGCAGTCTCAAGTCAACCAGGGTGAACTTTTTAAAGACTCACGATATCTTTTGATTCACTTGAGTCAGGCTTGAGCTTTCTCAGAGAAGCGTTATTACCGAGATCTAACAATTAATAAGAAACCAAGGGCTCCCAACTGACCACTGAAGGTACCCACACAAAAGGAGGAAGCAGTGGGCAGGTTTCCTCCTCCTGATGTTTTCACGAACGTGAGACCTCACCAAAAAAATGTGTGCTGGGTATAACTGAGAGTTAATTGTTCTGTAAATAGGACAATGATTGTAGCTGAAGGACACAGCTGCTTAGCAAGAGTGTGTGGTAGAAATGTGTTGATTTGAAAAGAGTATTTCCAGCTGAAGACGCAAGCTATGGACTGAAATCCATTTATTCTGAAAATAGAATGTGGATGAAAGGTATGACAAGAGGCTGTGGAGATACATTCTGCTTCTTAGAATGGATTTTAAGACTGCGTTGATTGGGCAGTGATGGTCAAACTTTATTGACCATCCAGTCAGCTGGGGTGAGTTTGAATATCTGGATTCTGTGTTCCAACCTTAGATTATGAGTTTAGAAGCTCCTCAGGTGATCCTGATATTGGAAGTCTGTTGGCTCCTCCTGAGAAAAATGCCTTAGGGAGTGATGAGGATTTGCTCTATGTCTTTCCTAAGTGCTATACAGCCATCAAATGGAAGTTAAGTCATTATCCTAACAATTATGAAAAACAAGGTATACATCATTGAATTATGATAATGTCTGTCTTAGTGAATGGTATGTCATTATTTCATATATTACATATTTTCCTTCTGTTTCCTTCGGTTAGGAAGTGTCCAGAACAGTTAATCAGTAATTGGGCCAAAACTGATAGAAGACTAATTAGAAAAAAATGGAAAAAAAAAAAAAGGCAGGAGAGTTCTCTTAACATAACATATGGGAATAGTTGATGTCCGGACTTGACACTGCCCGTCAGTCGTGTGTGTCCGAAAGGTCTTGAGTTCAGACCGGGGACTGGCCTTTCCCCATCCATTTTCTTCATCCTGTGTGTGTAAGTGGTGGAAGAGGGGAAGTGCCGTGGCCTCTGAAGCATCCTCTGTGAGCCCAGGGATGGATGAGGCAGCGGCTGCCAGAAAGCCAGAAAGTGCAGCTTCCCAGAAAGGAAGTTGCGGGCAGATCAGCCAGCCATGGTAGCGAGCGCCCAGAGGCTCTGCTGGCTTGTGATAAAGAAGCACAGTCAGCCTGACAGTGTAGTGGCTGAGTTTTCCAAGTGTACATGTCTGGTCTCAGAAGCTTTGAGGACACCATAGCTGAAGGAAAAGAAAAAGTCAACATTTCCTGTCCTGCTACGACGGCAAGAACAAATAATCACAAAGCAGATAGAGTCCAGCAAAACAAATTTTTATGTACCTTGAAAGTGAACCTTAAGAGAATTGAACTGTTCTCTCTTTTTTTTAACTGTTTATTTTGAGAGAAAGAGGGAAAGCACAAGTGGGGGAGGGGGGAGAGAGAGAGAGAGAGAGAGAGAGAATCCCAAGCAGGCTTCACGCTGTGAAGTGCAGAGTCGGACATTCAGCTTGAACCCACAAACTGTGAGATCATGACTTGAGCCGATATCAAGAGTCAGACACTTAACCGAGATCCAGGCATTTCTGAACTGTTTTCTTCAGTGGGATTCTCTAGTAATTTCAAGTTTCTGAGGAGTTTTCTGAATTGTTAAATAACTTGAAGTTATGCCCAGTATATTTGTGTCCAGTGTATGTCCAGTATCTCTTAGGAAACCTGCCCTTTGGTTGTTTTTTTGTGTGGTGATTGGTTAGCTGCAAATTTGACGTATGTAACAGAATGTATCTTTTTCTGATCTCTTTCCTAAAAACCAAGAACATAATTATCCTGCTTTAGTCACATAAATAGGTAACTAAATAAATATATGGGATTTCAACCTTATCACTGTGAAAACAGATTCTCTAAACTATTTCTCCCGTTTGCAGATATTTGTAAATCTGGATCCATCCCTTCTGATGTAGAGAAGAGATTACAGTTGGAATGGCCCTTCCAGGAGCAATTGCTACTCAGAGAACAGTATCAGAAGAAATTCAAAAACAGCACTTACTCAAGTAAGAGATGAAAGGCACCTGCAGGTGTCCCAGCCCCCAGAATACATGGAGAGTTTGAACTTGGACTTGAATCCCATAAATCCTACTGCAGTTGTATAAAGCGGCATAATACTCAAATGTTATCAGGAGTTAATGGAAAATCTTGAACTTCTGGGTTTTTTTTTCTTTCCTTCACCTGACTTTGTCCATTAGACATGAAGTGAAAAATCATTCATTCACAAGCTAATAATGACCTTTACTGCTCTGAAGAACTAGGAAGTCAAGGAAGACATGGATACACTCTTCATGGGTGAAAGTAAAGTACAAAAGTATGAAGAATAAATAGTGGGGGCGCCTGGCTAGTTCAGTCTGTAGAGCATGTGACTCTGAGTCTCAGGGTTGTGAGTTTGAGTCCCATGCCGGGTGTACAGATTACTTAAAATCTTTTTTTTTAAAGAGTAAATTGTGAAAACCATTCACACCTCGTCATCCATTCTCTCTCTCCTCCCAGAAGAAACCCCTATCATTAGTAGGTATGAGTAGGTGTAACATTAGGCAGTGGAAGCCCAAGTTATACAAGTCTTGGCCACCAAGCAGCTCTCTCTCTCTTTGCTCTGTGGTTTTGTGTAGAACTAGCTCGACTGACCAGGAATTTATTTCCATTCACTGAAACAGTTATCCAGTCTTCAAAATGGGATGATGTTGTCATGCAGAGCTTCAAAACAACTGGAACCAAGCAATCCTCACTTAACTATAAAAACTATTTTTATCTGAAAGTTGATGTTTTATACCCAACTAAGGGATGATATTGCCCCAGATCTCAGTTAAGGAAATAATCCGCTCAGATACAACTGTCTTCTTCGGATTTTTGAAAAATAAATTCTCTTGAAGTTAATTTGAGTCCTTTGGCATTTCTAAGAGCATATTTGTTGAAAGTAGATTATTTGTCTTTGTGATATTTTACTGTATACTATGTGGATTTCAATGTATCTGGTGGATTTTTATTTTTGTATTTTTTATTTATAAGGTACAGAAAAAAATGTGACACACAGGAAATCAGAAAGTAGTTTACATGTTAATAGAGTCCTCTAAATTATTTATTGCATTTTAAAGGAGGGGGACTACTCTGACATTTTAGTTAAATGACCTGTGGTTGAATGGAATTTGGCATAAGGCAGGCCTGTCTCAGACCCCGTGAAAGGAATCACAGGAAACCAATATCAGTAAGGTCTCACCTGTAATAACTCATTATGATATAGGTCTGCTAGAGAAGACTCCATTGTATTAGGTAATCTATTGATTTCTACTTTATTTTGTATCATGTTAAACTTTATACTAGTTTATCTTTAATTTTTCTAAAAAAAAAAAGGATTTCCTAGCTCACATGATCTTTCTGGAATCAAGATGATAGGTTTCCATTTTTTTCCCCTGCCTACAGGACTAGGACCTTCCTAGTTCCTTCCCTAACTGTGTAACTAGGTCGTTAAAACTGCAGCCACTCTTTCGACAATGCTCCAATATTTAATAAATATTTGACTCCAGGTTTGAAATTTTTTATTTTAATATATGTGTCTTAGAACATACAGATAGGAATCTATTGTGTTTCATCTGGGCCCCAGCTCAGTATAATGACAAATATCTCAGAAGCTTATAAGTGTTTCCACACATTGTTCCACACTGATGTCCACACAGATGTTCCACATTGATATTGGTAACGTGTGAGTACCTTGGGCTGGCATTGTCCCCTGGAGGGGACAGCAAAAGTCTCCTGTGGTGAGGACAGGGTAATTGCCCAGTCAGTGGCCTGCACCCTTAAAACAGGTGTCTTAGAAGATACAGCTAAGTTTTCTAATTACAGGACCCATTAGATGGTGGGTTTCACTTAGGTAGAAGATGACAGAAACATTTGTCACAAGACTCCAAACTTTGTAAACCTGTGTAGGCAGGAAAGGGAAGCAATGTTATAGATGTAACTCTGGGTGCGGCTGACTGCATAAAGGACTTCCTTCTTACAATCATCATATTTAATGAGCTAATTCTTTGTTGTCCTTCTCTACCTCTCTTCTTCATCAATTGACTCCTCCACCTCTATCCCCCACTAGAACTGGACACATTTACGTAAACACACCTGTCAACGCCAGGGAAACGGTCAGTGCCGGTGTTTTGTTTTGTTTTCTTGTTTCTTCTTGTTGTTTGTTTCTTCTTGTCTTGTTTCTTCTTGTTGTTGTTTTCAATGCCAGCTTTTCATGTGCCGTTTAGATTATCTTTGTCCCAGGGATCTTTCCACCCTCTCATAGAGTAAGAGATAAGAGACTGGGTAATGATTGGGAATTGGAAAATTAGCGCTGAGTTTTCGAACTGTTCTTATTTTGAGCTGGGTGCTGTTTGGTTGGTTTTATTTTTAAGAGTAGGTTCCACCTCAGTAGTGTACAGCCCACATTCTAGATGTTACTATTCTGTTGTAGGAAGCGTATGATAAAATTTTAAGCTATGTAAATTCCAAGTGCATTTGGAAAGATGAAATAGAAAAAGAGTAAAGTATAAGTGGGATAAATACTCTAAAATGCAAGCATTCCGGGCTTTGTGAAAATGCCATAGAGGGAGGAGGTGATAACAGTGCCTAACGTGTATGAGGGCTTTTTATCACTTACAGAGGGTTTTCACATCTGTTGTTGCCACCCCAGGTTTGTGAGTGGGCACGTGATGGTGCCAGTTCCAGGATTGTGGACGCATAGCTGAGGCTCAGGCAGGGTGAAGGGGTCACCTCATTATACAGTCTGTAAGTAGGAGCGCGGGGCTGGAGCTCAGGTATTAGGATTCCTGATCCAGGAAACTTTCTGCCGCGTGATTTTGCAATATATAAGTCTAACTCAGAGCTGTGACTAAGACAGTTGAGTCACCCCTATACAACAGGCTCTAGTAATGGCACTGCCACCAAATAGCTATGTGGTATTGGGCAAAGCACTTCACCTCTTTGGTGCCAGTTTCCTCAAAGGAAAATGGGGGTGGAGGTTTGAGGAGAAGTCAACAACCCCCAGGGCTCTGTGCTGTCCCAAACTGTGCCTCAAGGTCCAGTGGAATGCTGGGCCACAGGACTGGAGAGCTTTTCAGCTCCTGTTGTCTGTAACTCTTTAATGATAGGCAGCAGCCCCGTGGAAGTGGGTGACACAGCAAACACCCTAACCACCTCGAACAACTTGCTAGAGTCATTCTGCCCCCTAGCCTTTATCGGCAGTTTCACTGTTATGCTGATCCCAGGAATTCACTTAGATTTTTTTTTTTTTTCAGTTTATTTGAGACCAGAGAGAGTGAGAGAGCATGAGTGAGGAGGGGCAGAGAGAGAGGGAGAGAGAGAATCCCAAGCAGGCTTCTCACTGTCAGCGCAGAGCTCGATTCGTGGCTCGAACTCACAAACTGAGAGATCATGACCTGAGCCTCAACCAAGACCAAGAGTCAGTTGCTTAACCAACTGAGCTACTCAGGCTCACCTCCCACTTAGATGTTTTTAAACTAGGAGAGTTCAGAGAGTGAATTTCTGTTCAGCAAACAATTCTAACTATACCCATATGATACTTGACTTAAAGATGATATTCAAACACATTGTTGCTACTCTCAAGAAGTAATTTTAGGTGAGTTAATGGTTAGGAAAGCTGAGTTCAAAAGTTCCCAAACCTTTACGGCACTTTAGTGACTCAGTAAGTTTTTTCACATCTGACTTACCCCCAAGAAAATACCTAAGAGTTTCAATTACTAAGTTTTTGGGTCCAAACAACCTAATAGTAATAGTTCTCATCGTGTTTAACACAGTTGAGGTTTCCCTTGTAAATTTATTTATTTATTTATTTTTATTAAAAACATTTTTTAAAGTTATTTTTTAATGTTTTATTTATTTCTAGGAGAGAGAGAGAGAGAGAGAGACAGCGTTAGCAGGGGAGGGTCAGAGAGAGAGGGAGTCACAGACTGAAACAGAAACAAGCTCTGAGCTGGCAGTCAGCACAGAGCCCGACGCGGGGCTCGAACGCACAAACCGTGAGATCATGACCTAAGCGAAAGTCGGACGCTTAACCGACTAAGCCACCCAGGCGCCCCTAAAAACATTTTTTTAAATGTTTATGTTTGAGGGAGAGACAGAGACAGAACGTGAGCAGGGGAGGGTCAGAGAGAGAGGGAAACCCAGAATCTGAAGCAGGCTCCAGGCTCTGAGCTGTCAGCACAGAGCCCAAAGTGGGGCTCGAACCCAAGAACCGTGGGATCATGACCTGAGCGGGAGTAGGACGCTTAACTGACTGAGCCACGGAGGTGCCCCTATTTATTTATTTTTCAAGTTTATTTATTTATTTTGAGAGAGAGGGAGGGAGGGAGGGGCAGAGAGAGGAAGAGAAGGAGAAACCCCAGCAGCCTTCACACTCTCAGTGCAGAGCCCCCACATAGGGCTCCAGCTCACAAACTGTGAGATCATGACCTGAGCCAAGATCAAGAGTCAGACACTTAACCAGCTGAGCCACCTAGGAACGCTGTTTCCCTTCTAAGTTTAAACGCTTCTATAGTGCTCCTGGGAGTAGGGTTGCCCGGTTAACTTAGAATTTCAGATAAACGAATTTTTTTATTATAAGTCTTTCCCAAATATTGCATAGACCTGCAATACAAATTACTCATTTATCTGAAGTTCAGATTTAACTAGATGCCTATATCTTCATTTCCTGAATCTGACAGCCATGTGGTGAATGTATTGAGGCTTGCCAGGAGGCCTTGGCACATAGTTTGGAAACCACAGATCGATAGCCCTGGGCCAATTTTTTAGTGTCCAATTTTACTTATTTATAATTAATAAATCATATACATGAATTTTCCCAAAAAACACTTTAAATAGAGTTAAATTTACCAAAATATTTTGTGACTGCGTTTGTGAGTAGAGATGTTTAAATTATGAAGAATGGGGCTTATGTTGACTAATGACAGTCAGCCTGTGCATGAATTCACCTGAGGTCATTTGAACAAAACCCGAGCGCCCGACCAAAGCGTCTGGTACTTTACATGGTTCAGTATGGAAAGTTGATTCAAAAGCGGAAGTAAATTAAGCCATATTAATTTTTAATCTTTAATTAAAATTTTTTTTAAATTTTTATTAAAATGTTTATTAAAATTGCCTGTCCATTTTTTGTCTCTTACTTATAACGCATTAGGATTGGAATACTCTCAATTTAACAGCCAAAATGGTAATTCACTGGAGAACAAATCTGGAGGCTTCATTATTGAGATGCTGACCTAACTATTATATTGCCACTATTTTAGGGAGCTCCGTGGATATGCTGTACACTTTTGCAAATTGCTCAGGACTGGACTTGATCTTTGGTCTAAATGCCTTACTACGAACAGCAGATTTGCAGTGGAACAGTTCCAATGCTCAGTTGCTCCTGGATTATTGCTCTTCTAAGAATTATAACATTTCTTGGGAACTAGGCAATGGTAAGTGCCCTGAGGAACATTTCCTTTTTTTTTTTTTTCTTTTAATTTACATCCAAGTTAGTTAGCATAAAGTGCAACAATGATTTCAGGAGTAGATTCCTTAAGCCCTGTTACCCATTTAGCCCATCCCCCCCCTCACAACCCCTCCAGCAACCCTCTGTGTGTTCTCCATATTTAAGGGTCTCTTATGTTTTTGTCGCCTCCCTGTTTTTATATTATTTTTGCTTCCCTTCCCTTATGTTCATTTGTTTTGTATCTTAAAGTCCTCATATGAGTGAAGTCATATGATATTTGTCTTTTTCTGACTAATTTCACTTAGCATGATACCCTCTAGTTCGATCTGCATAGCGGCAAATGGCAAGATTTCATTCTTTCTGATTGCTGAGTAATACTCCATTGTATATATATACACCATATCTTCTTTATCCATTCATCTGTCGATAGACATTTGGGCTCTTTCCATGCTTTGGCTACTGTCGATAGTGCTGCTATAAACATTGGGGTGAATCTGCTCCTTCAAAACAGCATACCTGTGTTCCTTTTATAAACACCTAGCAGTAAAATTGCTTGCTCGTAGGTTAGTTCTATTTTTAATTTTTTGAGAAACCTCCATACTGTTTTCCAGAGTGGCTACACCAGTTTGCATTCCCAGGAACATTTCACTAATAAAGAGATTACTCTTTGGCATTAATTGTTCCTATTTATGACATTCTTTTATTGTTAGTAAATATTTTTCTGGCTCGGCACACTTGTACCAGTGCTCAACAGTGCAACTTTACTGCTTATGGCAGAAAACTCCTTTATATACCCCAGAACACTTGAGCTGAAACAACTAGTTGGACCCAGAAACTTCCATGGCTCCCAGGTTCACTTGACATTTTTAGGGTCACTTAACCCTATTATGGATGGCGGGCTGGACTCAGCAAAACTGTAAAGCAGGCATTTTGCTTTTACCTCCTTCCATTTCTTTCTCTATTTCTCTACTTCTCAGTTAATCTTAGCAACTCCATCCCAACCATCATGATATGCTCAAACTAGAAGTTCCTAGTATAGAATCCTGCCCAGGTCAAGCTCCTGATTATTTCCCTCTTCACTTTTTTGCAAAGAACTCGTAAATTCCAACTAAAGTACTAATGATTAGCCACATTCATTTAAACATATTAATGGCGCTTTTACCACACATGAGCCAATGGAACTAAAAAAAAATGGGAAATGAGATGTAGTGATATCATGGACACATACTCCATTCCAGGAACAGCTCTGAGCATTTAACAAGTATTATTTTATCTTTATAACCACCCTGGGGTGGATATAGGTATGACCTTCATTTTACACATGACAAAGCAGGCGCAAAAATTTAGTTAAATAGCTGTGTGATGCTGGACTACCAAGTGGAGGACTGGGGATTTGAACCCAGGCAGTCTGGCTCCAGAGCAAGGTCCCTGCTTTCTTGGGCGATCCATTCTAGAGGAAGGGAACCAGGTCAACAAGAAAGCAAGCAAAAAAATAAGATACATGTCTGTAGTGGTACGTATTATAGTAATGTCTAGATGCAGATTTGGAGATCAGGTCGCTGAGGGTTACTGGCAAATTGAAGCACAGGGCATAGAATATAGGGGCAGAGGTAACCATATCTTAGCTAGATGCTGAACAACTTTGAATAATGGCAGCAACATGGATAACAGGTTGTCTGAACTCATCCTTAAGCATCTCTATATATCCTTCCCTCCCTACTTTTCTACTGTACCTATTCCCAACTCCTTCTGCTCTTCAGAATAAGATAAAAGAGCTATACCATCACGCTTCCCTCTTCCTTGGGCTCCATTTTGCAAGGAAAGGTCTGTTTTCCAGAGAGAAGGAGAAGGGAGAGCCTGTGCCGGGTGTTTGGGGGAAGTAGATCAAACACTTCTGTGTTCTCCTCCCATGTCTTCAGCATGGCCATTTCCAAGCTCACCTGCACATATGATTTGTGAATAAACAGTCTAAATAAGGCCTTTAATGACATTGAGAAATTAGTTTTTAAATGTCTTCCCTTCCCAGACATGAACAGACACTTCTCCAAAGAGGACATCCAGATGGCCAACAGACACATGAAATGATGCTCAGCATCCCTCCTCATCAGGGAAATACAAATCAAAACCACACTGAGATACCACCTCACACCAGTCAGAGTGGCTAAAATGAGCAAATCAGAGAACTCTAGATGCTGGCGAGGATGTGGAGAAACGGGCACCCTCCTACACTGTTGGTGGGAATGTAAACTGGTACAGCCCCTCTGGAAAACAGTGTGGAGGTTCCTCAGGAAACTAACAATAGAACTCCCCTATGACCCAGCAATAGCACTGCTAGGAATTTACCCAAGGGATACAGAAATGCTGAGGCATAGGAGCACATGTACCCCAATGTTCATAGCAGCACTCTCCACAATAGCTAAAACATGGAAAGAGCCTAAGTGTCCATCAACAGATGAATGGATCAAGAAGATGTGGTTTATCTATACCATGGAATACTACATGGCAATGAGAAACAATGAAATCTGGCCATGTGTAGCAACATGGATGGACCTTGAGGGTGTTATGCTGAGCGAAATAAGTCAGGCAGAGAAGGACAAATATCATATGTTTGCACGTATAGGAGGATTAGGAGGAACTTGACGGAGGAACAAGGGGGAGAAGAAGGGCGGAAATGGTGGGGGAAAGGGAGAGAGGCAAACCATGAGAGACTCTTGAATGCTGACAAAAACTGAGAACTGATGGATGTGGGGGGGAGGGGGGGATGGGCATGGAGGAAGACACTTGTGGGCATGAGCACTGAGTGTTATGTGGAAACTAATTTGACAATAAACTATTTGTAAAAAAAAAAAACAAAAAACAAAAACAAAAACAAAATGTCTTCCCTTCCCTCCCAAACTTGTTTTTTTTTTAAGTTTTTTGCCATTTTATTTTTATTGTTTTAATATATTTCATTGTCAAACTGGTTTCTATACAACACCTAGTGCTCATCCCAATAAGTGCCCTCCATGCCCATCACCCACTTCCCCCTCTCCCCCACCCCCATCAACCCTCAGTTTGTTCTCAGTATTTGAGAGTCTCTTATGGTTTGCCTCCCTCCCTCTCTGTAACTTTTTTCCCCTTCCCCTCCCCATGGTCTTCTGTTAAGTTTCTCCAGATCCACATGTGAGTGAAAACATACGGTATCTGTCTTTCTCTGACTGATTTATTTCACTTAGCATAAGACCCTCCAGTTCCATCCATGTTGCTACAAATGGCCAGATTTCATTCTTTCTCATTGCCAAAGCTGTAATCATCAAGACAGTATGATATTGGCACAATAAAGACACATAGACCAATGGAACAGAAGAGCGAACCCAGAACTGGACCCACAAATGTATGGCCACTAATCTTTGACAAAGCAGGAAAGAGTATCCAATGGAAAAAAGTCCTTTTAACAAATGGTGCTGGGAGAACTGGACAGCAACATGCAGAAGAATGAAACTAGACCACTTTCTTACACGATACACAAAAATAAACTCAAAATGGATGAAGGACCTGAATGTGAAACAGGAAACCATCAAAACCCTAGAGGAGAAAGCAGGAAACTTTTTGTCTCTTTAAAGTAAATTAGTTTATTAAATACTGGATGTATACTATTTCCCAAATATCCATTAGTTTAATATCCCCATTATTAACTTCAAATTGTTTTGATGTCCTCTCACACTTCAGTGTGTTGTCATTTAAATTTTTGTTTTATTGAAGTATCTTCTTTATAAGGGGAGGTTTTACTATTCTTGCCTTTGGACTACATGTAAGTCTTTGTAATTGAGAAATGTTTTCCTCCTTTTATATGCTGCCATTGTGTTTGCTTTTAAATGCACAATTTCTATATATGTGATTATCTTGAGAATTGCTGTCTTTCAGAACCTAACAGTTTCCGGAAGAAGGCTGGTATTTTCATCGATGGATTGCAGTTAGGAGAAGATTTTGTCAAGTTGCATAAACTTCTAGGAAAATCCACTTTCAAAACTGCGAATCTCTATGGTCCTGATATTGGCCAGCCTCGAGGAAAGACTGTCAAGATGCTAACGAGGTAGGAACTAGAGGAAGCAGAACCACTTTTCTTAAAAATAATATTGCTCTCTGGTGGAGAATCCTCATGTTAGTAAACCATTTGCTACCTAAGCAAATGTTTTACCAAAAGAGGAAACACTGACTGGCTCAGAATACCAAGAATCTGGAAGCAAATGAAACCTGGAGTGTAATTTGTATAAGAATTAGGACGTTTGTTCTTGCCTGATCCTAAAGCAGTAACCAGCCCATTTCTAGGAAATAAAACTCCTGTGCATATATTGTGTGTATATGTATTGTGCATATGAGGATTAAGTGAAGATCATAATAATTTTTTTTTTCTAGTTTCCTGAAGGCTGGGGGAGAAGTGATTGATTCAGTTACATGGCACCAGTAAGTATGTCTCCTGCTCTTCGGACTAAGAAACTGCTAATTTTACTTATTTATTACTTAGTTTTCAAAAAATTATTTCCATTTAACCGCTAATACATAGTTCAAATAAGAAACAAATAATATCTCAAGCAGCACTGTACTAGACACTTAATATTAATAAAACAAAAATTTAAACTTTAATGTGGTAGTTTCTATAAGATCAAGGCATACTGTCATTTAAATCATGGAGCAGGTAAGTAGCTAAATCCAATATGCTTGCCAAAGAACGGGTAACCTTTAAGTACCTGCACTTGTGACTATGTCTTTGCTTTAAAAAAATTTTTTTTAATGTTTATTTTTGAGAGAGAGTCAGAGTGTGAACGGGAAGGGGTGGAGAGACAGGGAGACACAGAATCCGAAGCAGGCTCCAGGCTCTGAGCTGTCAGCACAGAGCCCAATGCAGGGCTTGCACTTATGAACTGTAAGATCATGACCAGAGTGGAAGCTGGACACTTAACCAACTAAGCCACCCAGGCTCCCCAGACTATGTCTTTTCAAAACAAAATAACTGATTCCTCTCCATGTTGGTCTCTTCTTACTAGAACTTCTTTTTTTATTATTAAATAGCAGAGGGGTAAGAAGAGGTAGGAAGTAGAGCAAGGTAGCCAACTAACTTAAAAGCAGAAAGTAAGGTTTGTTTGTTTGTTTCTGAATATTTTCCAAATAATTTAGCTACTACGTGAATGGACGAATTGCTACCAAAGAGGATTTTCTAAACCCTGATGTGTTAGACACTTTTACTTCATCTGTGCAAAAAATTTTCCAGGTAATAGTCTTTTTTTTTTTTTTTTGTAAATGTAGAGTGATCCCCTTTATCTGTAGGGTATATGGTCCAAGACCCTCAGGGGATGTCTGGAACCACAGATAATATCAAAACGTATATATACTTTTTCCTATATGTACATTCCTAGGATAAAGTTTAATTTATAAATTAGGCACAATAAGAGATTAACAACAGTAACTAATACTAAAAGATAACAATTCTAATAATATTCGGTAATAAAAGTTATGTGAATGTGTTCTCTCAAAATATCTTCTCATACTGCACTCACTCTTGTGGTGATGTGAGATGATAGAATGTCTACGTGATGAAGGCATTCCTACGTGCCTACAAAGGAAGCGAAGTGAATGACATGTGTATTGTGACATAGCATTAGGCTACTATTGACCTTCTGATGACAAGTCTGAAGGAGGATCATCTGCTTCCAGACCACAGTCGACCGTGGGTGACCGAAATTGCAAAACCATCAATAAGTAGGCACTTCTGTAAAACCAGTCTTTATTTTGTAGTCTAGCTAATTCTAAATTCCATGAGTATATAAGTTTACATGTTTTTCCAATTTTAGATAACAGGTACTTACTCACTGTCAGTCCCCCCTTAGCATCAGGTCTTATCCATGTATATTGATTAAAAATTAAAAATACTCCCAATAACCTTTTGGAATAGCCTCACAGCTCATCAGAATGGGATTATTTAAATTCCTTCCACAATTCAGCATTCTAGTAAAAGTAAATTGCCCAAGATCTCAGTGATCATGAACATGTTTTGTAACTATATTGGACAAATCAGTCTGGGAATACAAGATTTTAAATGTCCTTAATCTTCAACACCATAGTTGGTCAGCTTGTTTGCAAACATAATGCGGACTTTCCTGTTCCATAGGTTGTTGAGGAGACCAGACCTCACAAGAAGGTTTGGTTAGGAGAAACGAGCTCTGCGTACGGGGGTGGAGCGCCATTGCTGTCCAACACGTATGCGGCTGGCTTTATGTGAGTGAAGCAGCGCTGCCCCAGGGACTAGGTGCAGCCTCTCCTGGCCTTTGATTAAACAGATTCTGTTGAAACAGCTTGTCAGCCAAAAAGCTGATCAAAGGCAGTTTCTATGGCTGAGACCCAAAATTCATGCCACATTTTGTAAGAAAGTGTTTTACTCAAGTTTGTTGGACATCTTTAATGGGTGTTCCAAATTAATCATTGTATGAATGAATTGCTTTAGAAGTGTTGTTCCTTAATTATGGCCCATAAATAGTGCCAAGGGTTCCTTCCTCTGAAAGCGATCGTAAAAGAGTGCATCTAGAGGTTTGAGTCTGCGAAGGATCCTCGGTGTACGCATAGCTCTATTCATAGATTCCCAAGGAGTTTAGAATCTGAAGTGTGAGGTCTCACCAGAGAGACTACCAATAAGTTTAAAGACTTACTAAATCACCTCATAATCCAACCACCAGAAACTTGATTGCTTTTTTTAAAATTTAAATTCGAATTAGTTAACATTCCATGTAGTACTGGTTTCAGGAGTAGAATCCAGTGGTTCATCACTTACATGCAACACCTAGTGCTCATCCCAAGAAGTGCCCTCATTAATGCCCATCACCCATTTAATTCACCCCCCACCCACCTCCCCTCCAGCAACTCAGTTTGTTCTCTGTATTTGACTCTCTTCTTATGGTCTGTCTCCCTCTCTGTTTTTTTATCTTATTTCATTTTTTTCTTCCCTTCCCCTATGTTCTTCTGTTTTCTTTCTTAAATTCCACATATGAGTGAAGTCATATAATATTTATCTTTCTCTGACTTATTTCACTTAGCATAATACACTCTAGTTCCATCCACATTGTTGCAAATGGCAAGGTTTCATTCTTTTTGATCACTGAGTAATATTCCATTGTGTATATATACCACATCTTCTTTATCCATTCATCCATCAGTGGACATTTGGGATCTTCCCATACGTTGGCTATTATTGATAGCGCTGCTATAAACATTGGGATGCATGTGCTCCTTGGAATCAGTACTTTTGTATCCTTTTGGATAAGTATCTAGTACAAACTTGATTACTTTAAACAACTGGTTTACTTACATTCCGTAACCCCATTAACACTCTTAATCTATAGTTCTATATCCTCACACTGAGACTTATTCTCTTTTCTCTCCTATCCTCATTCTTATAAATCCAGAATAAAAAAACAAATCCTTTTTGCTCATGAGGGGCATGAGGAGGAGAGTAAAGAATAAAGGTGTTTGTTTTTGCCATGACCCAAAGACAGAGGGAGGGAGTGGAGGGAGATAGCCATAAAAGTCTAGGTATGATTTTACGTTATTTCACATTGTACTATTGCGGAGTACAAACAACCTTGTCTTCAGCTCTCACATGGGTGGAGGAGTGGGGAGGGCATCCAGCAAGATGGAGAATGATTGCCTATAGGGTGAGAATTTGTCTACTCTGCTTGTAGAAGTTTTCTTACCCTGAAAGAAACTCATATGGCATATTAACAGTATTCTGGGATGTATTATCATGCTCAAGTGTGGGAACATGTGAAGGAAAGGATAGTCTTCATTTCATTTGAATGGCTTATTGAAGTTTAACACTGCTTTTCTGGTTTCCTGTCAATTCTTCCCACATGGAGGAATAAATCAGAATAGTGCGTAATTAGAATTAAGTTTTTTTGTTTTCGAAACCCGAAGAAAGCTGGGCCTCCCTCCGTTCCAGGTGGCTGGATAAACTGGGCCTGTCCTCCAGAATGGGCATAGAAGTGGTGATGAGGCAAGTGCTCTTTGGAGCTGGAAACTACCACTTAGTGGATCAAAACTTCGAACCTTTACCTGTAAGTGATTGTTATTTTCCTGTTGCTGTGAGTGGAATAGAATATACTGAGCACCTCTGTATCAACCTTCTGTGAAAAGTCAATCTTCTCAATAAATTCAGTACTCTCAACAAGTAACCAAACCATGGAATGATGAGTTGGAAGAAACCTTATAGATTATCCTTTCTAATGTGCGCGTCTTGGGGTGTAGTATGGGGTTTTTTTTTTTTAATGTTTTTTATTTATTTTGAGAGAAAGAGAGAGAGAGAGAGAGAAAATTCCAAGCAGGCTCCACACTATCAGTGCAGAGCCTGATGTGGGCTCAAATCTGTGAACTGTGAGATCATGACCTGAGCAGAAATCAAGAGTCAGATGCTTAACCAACTGACCTACCCAGGCACCCTGAGATGTCTTTTTTAAAGGGGCAGTTTGAAACTTTGTGACTCCAATTTTACAAGATAACAAACTCAGATCAAAAATAATGTTTTGCAAAGTAAATCAAAGTTAAAACTACCTACAGTATCCAAAGCTTCAAAACTTATTTATGTCATGAAATTATAATCTATTTAACTTTGAGATAAATCAGTACTATGTACTTGTTAAAAAAAATCTCACCCTAAGAATTGGCCTTTTTGTTAATAATCTTCAAAATATTTATGAATACAGTCTAAGTTTCACCCTACCTCCTACTGCATCTGGTGCTAAATCAGGAGATGTAGACTTTTATCTAAAAAGCCACCTGGAAATATATGTCTAAAACTTGGAATAGTATAGATATAGCCCTGAGAAGTAGGACCTTGATTTTTGTAGTCTAAAATGGCATTTGAGGATATCTATTTTTAAGGAATAATTCCTAAGGGAATTATTTGAATACTGTAGGAAAGCTAAGAAATTTTGCAAAAAGCACATGACAAAATATAAGCAAGGTTTTGTGGTTTGTAGGTAGCTTTCCCAAGAAAGTTCTTTTAATCTATAGTAGTCCCGACTCAGAGAGCACATGGTTCATAACTTTTAAAAAATTTTTACAAAAATGACCTTGTAACAAGTGGAATATATCTTCCCTAAGTATATTATGAATCAACTATAGAGTTAAACCCAACATGATCATTTCATTAGACAAATATCCCAAATCTGCTGCTGGCCCTTTCTGAAATGGACTTTGAACAAGGAAGGTACATAAATAGTTTCTACAAAGTTGACTTTGCCTAGAAATTAGCCAGCTTATCCTGTCAGCGTAAATAGTACCAGCTATTTATTATGTTGTCTATATCTTTTCAGTGGCCAAACATACATCTTTGGTTCAAGATCCTTTGTGGTTTTTTGTTTGCTTGTTTTAAAATTAATTAATTAGTTAATTAATTAATATTTCATTTTTAGAGAGAGGGCGCAAGCAGGGGAGTGGGGCAGAGAGAGAGGGAGAGAGAGAATCCCGAGCAGGCTCCATGCTCAGCGCTGAGCCCAAAGATGGGTTTGGTCACACAACCCTGGGATCATGATCGGAGCCAAAATCAAGAGTCAGAGGCTCAACCAACTGAGCCACCCAGGCTCCCCTTTTCTCAAGGTTCATAGTCATCTAGAAAAACTTGCAAGAGTAAATGGCACCCATAACATCTGCAGGGTCCAAGGAAATCAGTCTTAAATCCAACATACCTGATTGTTTTCTTATTTGATTTATATAGCAATCCTGGAAGCTGGCAAGGCAGGTATCTTAGATCTATTTTCCAGACGTGGAAGTTCAAACTGAGACAAGGCTGTGTGACAAGCTGGATGTCACACAGTTGTCCTGTGTTGCTCTAGAATTCCATACAAATCCTGGCTCTGAGGCCTGAATGCTTTCTATCCTACGAGTCACCAAACCACGCTGAAGTTATGTCTCCTTTGTAAATGTTTAATTGATTCTGCTCTTGTCTCCAGTGAAAAATTTCAATGTAAGCAGAGAAACAAAAGCTGTTTGTCCTGTTGAGTCTACATTTCCTCAGCTCGAGAAGGAAGAGTTGGAATATATGTTGAGTAGGGTTCTTCAAAACAACAACAAATTTTAGGGGCATCTGAGTGGCTTGGTTGGCTAAGCCTTCAACTCTTAATTTCAGCTCAGCTCATGATCTCAAGGTTGTGAGATTGATCTATCAGCACAGAGCCCGCTTGGGATTGTCTCTCTTCCTCTCTCTGCCCCTCCCCTGTGTGCACACTCATGGACACTGTCTCTCTCAATATAAATAAATGAACTAAAAAAACCCCAAACTTTTTAGTATGGAAATTTTCAAAGTAGAGAGAAAAGCATTTAATCCTCAGTTTTGTTTAATCCATAATCCTACCCACTCCTCACCTCCCACTTACTAGATTACTTTCAAACAAATCTCAGATATATCACTATCCATCAATAGGTCAGTATGAATCTCCTTTAGACAAACATAAAGTATTATCATACTTTAAAATATTAACAATAATTCCTCAATATCATCTAATGTTTAGTCAGTGGGTGTTTCACATTATCCTTATTGTCTCAGATGTTTTTATTTTTTATTTTTCAAATGTATTTAATAGTTGGCCTATTCACATCAGGATACAAACAATATCCATATATTGAACTTGGTTGAAATATCTCTCAAGTCTGCTAATCTTAAAGTTTCCCCTCCTGCTCCTTTTTTGTGTTATGGAATTAATTATTGAAAGAGAGCAGGCAATTTGTTCTATTGTGTTTTCCACATTCTAGATTTCACTAAATTTCTTCCTGGACTGTCCTTTAGTATGTTCCTCCATTTCTTATAAACTGGCAGTTAGACCTAGAGGGTTGAGCTTATTCAGCTTTTTGGGTTTTGTTTTGTTTTGAAATAATTTTTAAAATGTTTTTTATTTGTTTATTTTTTTGAGAGGGAGAGGGAGAGAGAGGATCCCAAGCAGGCTCCATGATGTCAGCGCAGAGCCCGACGCAAGGATCAAATTCACGAACCATGAGATCATGACCTGAGCCAAGATCAAGAGTCAGATGCTTAACCAACTGACTGGGCCACGCAGGTGCCCCTGCAATAATTCTTCAAAGGAGATGTAGCATTCTTCCATCAAGAGGCACTTGATCTCTAGTTGTTTCTCTCTTTCTCTCTCTCTTTTTTTTTTTTTTTTTTTTTACCTTGATAGCTAGTGATGATTGTTGCCTAACCCATTCAGGAAGGGGGATCATTAGGTTATTTTAGAGGCTCTTAGCTGACTCAGTCCATGGAGCATGTGACTCTCAATCTCAGGGTTATGGGTTTGAACCCCATGTTGAGTATAGAGATTACTTAAAAATTTTTAAAAAAATCTTAAAGAAATAAAGCATTTTATTTTTTAATTTATTTTTATTTATTTATTTAAAAATTTTAATGTTTATTTATTACTGAGAGACAGAGAGAGACAGAGCATGAGCATGGGAGGGGCAGAGAGTGGCGGAGACACAGAATCCAAAGCAGGCTCCAGGCTCTGAGCCTGATAGGGGGCTGGAACTCACAAACCATGAGACCTGAGCTGAAGTTGGATGCTTAACTGACTGAGCCACCCAGGCGCCTCAGAAATAAACTATTTTAATCTCTTAAACAGATAGAAATTTTATTGTAAAAACCTGCCTTTGTGTGTATGTGCATGTGTGTACATGTGCGTACCTAAAAGTTCTGCTTTGAGCTTTGTTTTGAATTCTTGGTGATAGACAGTAAAGAACATTTAAATTCTCTCAGCAATGAATTGCATTCTTGAAGATGTATCTCCTAGAGTTCATGGCTTTTGGAATTCTGGATATACAGTCCTCCAATGATAAAAAGCAGCAAACAAGAAATTGCCCTCAGGTTCATGGTGGGAACATGGATCAAAAGATGTATTCCATTTAATAGTCACAGTCTTCGTACAGTTAACTATTTGCTCACACTGTTTTTGTTAAATAAAGAAATAAGTAAAGATCTACTTTTGTCCCTCCTCTCCCCACCTGCCCAACTAGGATTATTGGCTATCTCTTCTGTTCAAGAAATTGGTAGGCACCCATGTATTAATGGTGAGAGTGAAAGGTCCAGACAGCAGCAAACTTCGAGTATACCTTCACTGTACCAACATCAATCAGTAAGTATGTAACACACCCTTTTCCAGTCAACTTTTAATCATTAATATGTCCTTCCATTAATATGTCCATCCATTAATAGGATGATATTAAAATAATAACTGTAGCCCAAAATAAGCCATTCATCATTTCTGGTGAGTGGGAACTCTTTAAATAGTGAGGACCCACTGAGAAGTAGGCGAATGGTCTGGATGGAAATTCTGAAAAGTGTCAATAGATTTAATTTTCTTGTTTGTTTGTTTTTTTTAAATAAGGCTAGAAAAAGCTGCTGTTTACATGGTTTATAATTTGAATTCATAAAAACTCACAAAATTCACTTTATTATTTATCCTTCCTGTGTTTAAACATGGGTGGGCTGACCAGCTTCCTAGCAACTGAGCCTGGCTAAGCAGCAAAGATCTCGGAATGCTGTTCCCCAGAAAATGGTAGTGTGAAGAGCAATAGTTTAAATCATCTTTTCAAATAGGACCACATCAGTGGTCCAATGTAATCATGAAAGAAGGATAAAAAGAAGGCCCATCATCATTATAGATACTAATACTTAGTACCCATGATTATGTTTGTAACTGAGTTTTTAATTGCTTAAGTTAGATAAATATTGTTATTGAGTTAATCTATTTGCTTTTAGCCCAAGGTATAAAGAAGGAGATTTAACCCTGTATGCCTTAAACCTCCATAATGTCACCAAACGCTTGCAGTTGCCATATCATTTATTTGACAAAGAAGTGGACAAATACCTCGTAAAACCTTTAGGGCCTGATGGATTACTTTCTAAGTGAGTAATTTTCCTTTTTTCATTTCAAACTTTCACCAAATTGATTGGTATTTATCAGAATAGAGAGTGTTGATAGGGAGCAAAAAAAAAAAGTCAACGATTTCAAGTTCTAACAATTCTTAATATTCAGGAAGTTTATAAATGAATACTTATCCATACAGATATAACTCACTACTCAGAGTCCAAACGCAGAAGGATATGAATACAACTTACCAGTTAACTTAGGGAATAGTTTGCATTTCAAAACAACTTGATATGTCAAGATCCCCTCAAGACATTTAGATTATTTGCTCAAATAAGAGTTATGATTCTTGGTAACAGAGTCAGTAAAGCAAAACATACCTATGTATAATTGCTACTAAGGACATGGGGGTTGGTGTCAATACACCATGTGAGCTGAGTGTGATTCCCTCAAAGTGTTAAAGTAGTTTGGTTTGTTTGTTTGTTTGTTTGTTTTGGCTAAAGCAAGAAAATAAAATGTCTAGAAGTGTAGCTTTTAGGTAGATTATTTGAAGTCAGTCATAATACATTTTGGTTCTTGGATATGTCTTATAAGAGACCATATTCAACAGAACATTCCAAAGGGCCATGACCCTTGAAAAGTCAGGCACAAAAACATTGTAAGATTCTGTCCAACGTGTGTTGGAAGGAGCTCTCTTCATCATGACTGTTCTCACACTGGAGCATAAAAAATTAAGAGTTTACAAAATTCTCACCATCTCCTCCCATCTTTGCAAATGGGTGATGTTTTCAGTGATAATTAGAACCTCAGAACCTGACAAAGGACAGTAAGCATGCTTTCTCCAAAGACCTATCTATCTTCCTTAGACAAACATCATTAGCATTGGGTCCATTCTTTATTTTCCCCCTTTGTTTTATTTTACTACAACTGTAATCACATAATTCTAATGGGAAAAGAAAAAGGGAGGGGCACCCACAAGTTTTCCAAAATGGCTTTCCTTACATAGCCTTCATAGACATTTTTAATGGGCTATATGTTTTATAAAATATCGTGGAGTACTCACCCATTTTCCTGCTGTTTAAATCTTTTTTGTAATATAAATAATACATATTTGGTAACAGATACTTTTTTTTCTATTTCAGTTCTGGCTTTTTGAAATGAGTATTTTTAGGGGCACCTGGGTGGCTCAGTCGGTTAAGCTTCAGACTTTGGCTCAGGTCATGATCTTGGGACTTGTGAGTTTGAGCCCCATGTTGGGCTCTGTGCTGACAGCTAAAAGCCTGGAGCCTGCTTTGATTCTGTCCCCCTCTCTCTCTCTGTGACTTCCCTGTGTGTGCCCTGTCTCTCTCTCAAAAATGAATAAACATGAAAAAATTTAAAAAACAAAAACAAAAAATAAATGGGTATGGGTATTTTTAGCATATTTGGGTCTGATGCTGACAAGGGAAAAGCTTTTCTGAAGTACCTGAATAATAGTTGCAGAGTTGGAAGTATGTTAAGAGATATTTTGGTCCAACCTCAGATGGGTAGTTTAGGCCATTCATCTGCTGGATGGCTCTCCTGTTGAATCTTGAAGCCTCTCCAGGCAGCTGTCCTCTCAAGGGTAATGTGAGCCTCTCTCTGCCTTTCATCTGCTGTTTTGAGTTCTGTCCTGGGGATCCGAGGTCGGAAACTGCACCTCATGCCTGTGGACAAGTGGGTCCAGAGAGCAATTTTTCCTCTTTTTTCTGGTAGGGGAGGTTGTCATGCGCTCCGTATTAATTCTTATTTTTACTAAGTTGTGAACATTTGAAAACTGACCACTATGAAAATATCTGGATTTCTAGCTTTTCTTTAAACACAGATACTCTAGCAACTCTGGGCTTATTTTCCCAAGTAGATGGAGTTGAACTGGGGCTGTTTACTTGAGGCAGGTTCTCCTCAGTCCCTCCATGATCCTGTTCTCTCTAGGACTCTGCCCTACTACACTTGAACGTATAAATTCCTTGGCTCTTGTGGGTACTTGAGTTTGGTACCCTTAATCTGGAACAATGCCAGATACCTCTTTTTCTCCAGAATAACTCCAATATCTGAAGGACAATTGGATTGTCCTCTCTCCAGGCTAAATATGCCCAATTTCTTCAATGATTCTTCTCTTTGCTCTATTTATCAGACCCCATTGCATTCTTTTTTTTTTTTTATATTTTTATTTATTTCTAGAAGAGAGAGAGAGAGAGAGAGACAGTGTGAGCAGGGGAGGGCGAGAGAGAGAGGGAGTCACAGACTGAAACAGGCTCCAGGCTCCCAGCCAGCAGTCAGCACAGAGCCCAACGCGGGGCTCGAACCCACGAACCACAAGATCATGACCTAAGCGAAAGTCAGCCGCTCAACCGACCAAGCCACCCAGGCGCCCCAGACCCCATTGCATTCTGCACACATTTCATTCTTATTATTAATGGAAAATTCATGAAATTATGGATGTTTTATTGCCCTAAATTCTTTTTCATGAGTGTATATTACTTTTACTTTTCTCTCTTTAAAATGTTGCAAAAAATAAAATAAACTGTTGCAAAAGTATCCCAGGTTGGTTTGATGAGTGTACAGTCTGCAGCTTGTTCATTATAATGACCTCAGAGGGTTAAACAATGATCATCTTTAAAAAATCATTTTTTTTTAATGTTTATTTTTGAGAGAGAGAGAGAAGCAGAGTGTGAGCAGGGTGGGCTGAGAAAAAGGGAGACGCAGAATCTGAAGCAGGCTCCAGGCTCTGGGCTGTTAGCACAGAGCCCAGCGCAGGGCTTAAACTCATGAACTGTGAGATCATGACCTGCTCTGAAGTCAGACACTTAACCAACTGAGCCACTGTGAAGTTGGACGCTCAATCAACTGAGCCTCTAGGCGCCCCCTCCCCCAAAATAATTTTTTAGTTGAACAATGTGTATACTCCCCACAGAAGGTCTTCCATAGTAAGCATTTAGTAAATATTTGAGTGAATATATTTTTAATATATTTGTAGTATTCTATATTTATCTCAGATCAACTTTGTCCAGAATCCCTAATTCAGGTGACTATTACTTGCTAATTCTGTTCTGCTGTTTTCATCTGAAACTTGACAAGCATGTCTTCTATTTCTTGTCATCATGTTACTGACTTCAAAATATGAAACAAGGTACTAATCTTGCATAAAATCGTACCCTGATTCACCTAGCCTGATGCAGAAATAATCAGCATGCTTTAAGCTCATACTCAATGTATTGATAGCCTCCTTTAGCAGTTTTTACAGCTGATTAAACAAAATAGCCAGATGGTATGAGGTATTATTTTGCCCATGTTTCATCATCTTAACCCACAGCAATATTAATTTATAATGATGAGATTTACCTTTAAGCTCTATGGCCTCTCCTAAAGCATTTCTGAAACTTTTTTATGTACCCTTGAAAATAGTTCTCAATTTCATGTAGAGTAGCTCTTACTACTAACATGTAGAGATGTTTTCAAGGCCTGTTTTTGTTTGTGGTTTCCTGATGATGGTCATGGCGTTTCCTCCTCCATCCCCTCTAAAAATTGATGTGATATAGGAACTAAAATAAAACTCATGTGGATGTGGACAGAGTATAAATGCAGTGTGGGCTTGATAGCTTCTAGCACAATCATGGTTATCTTATTAAGTCTTTAGGTACAGACCCCAGAGCTGGGCATCTAACAAAGGTTAAATGGAAACTAATTTTTCTGCTGACTGAAACTTGGGATAGAGTTTGAAGGATCTTTTTTTTTTTTTAATGTTTATTTATTTTTGAGAGAGATAGAGTGCAAGCAGAGGAGGGGCAGAGAGAGAGGTAGACACAGAATCCGAAGCAGGCTCCAGGCTCTGAGCTGTCAGCATGGAGCCCGATGTGGCACTCAAACTCACAAACCCTGAGATCATGACCTGAGCCAAAGTCCAACACTTAACCAACTTAGCCATCCAGGTGCCCCGAATTTAAGGAATCTTTAATAATTCTAAATTGTAAACAACCAAACGTCTAACACTAGACAATAGGCTAATATACTCACACAATGGAATCCTGTACAACTGTTAAGATGATGCAGTAGATGAATGTTTAAATGGTGTGAGCAAACATTAAGAAGTGCTAAGGAAAAGAGAATCAAGTTTTAAGAGACTGGGGTGCCTGGATGGTTCGGTCAGTCAAGCATCCGACTTCGACTCAGGTCATGATCTCAGAGTTTGTGAGTTTGAGCCCCACATCGGGCTCTGTCCTACTCTCTTTGCCTCCCCCCTTTTCAAAAATAAACATTAAAAAAAAGAGAGAGAGACTATGTACTATATCCTCAATTTTGTTTAAGTGAAAATATATGTGTATATGCATAAAAGAAAAGAAGGAATATACATCAAAATACTAAAAATGGTTATGATGAGCAGTGCCTGGGTGGCTCAGTCAGTCAAGCAACTCTTCATTTCAGCTCGAGTCATAATCTCAAGATTTGTGGGATGGAGTCCCGCATCGGATTTGATGTTGCAGCACAGTGCCTGCTTGAGATTCTTTCTCTCCCTCTCTCTCTCTCTGCCCTTCCCCACTCTTTCTCTCTCAAAATAAAGAAAAACTTAAAAAAAAAGAAAAAGAAAAAAATGGTTATAATGAATTAACCAGTTATATTTATCAGAATAATGGTGATCATAGATAATACTTTTGTGGTGCTTACTCTGCAAGGCAATCTTATAAGTGTTCTACATATATTACATGTAGTACATATATGACACACATATAACTCTGACATTAACCCATTTTCAACAATATAATTTTTGAAGGGGCACCTGGGTGGCTCAGTGGGCTGAGTGTCTGACTTTGGCTCAGGTCATGATCTCACAGTCTGTAAGTTCGAGCCCTGCATCAGACTCTGTGCTGTCAGCATGGAGCCCACTTTAGATCCTCTGTCCTCTTTTCTGCATCTCCCCCGCTTGCTCTCTCAAAATATTTTAAAAACTAAAATAATATAAAATAAAAATTTTCACATTATAAAAACTTCATAGTGTTAAAAGCACTTAAGGAAAAGATCATAGAAATGTAAGCATTGTTTAGAATTATGGAATTAACTATCAGTGGAACTAAAAGCAGACTAAAAGTTTTCTTTATAAGCTCTTGTTAATATTGGATCAGTTGCTGTGAGCATGTATTAATTTGATTTAAATAATAGTAAATGTGTATAAAAAACATTTGTCCTCAAAATATTTTTCACATTTTTGGACTCGGTTTCGAATTTGAATTCCAAGAGCAGAATGCAAAGTAAACGTACATTTTTTTGGGAAACTTCTGGTTTAGTGACACAAAATTATTCTTGTTTCACTCCAGCAATATATATTCTACCAAAATATCTTAAGGACATAAGATATGCAAATGAATACGTATAGCCTGGGGGAAGAGGAGTGAGAGGGTTTAAGGGCACAGTTAAAAGTCGGAAATTTTAAGTCATTTTTCATGTTAAACTTGTAATATTTACATTCCCTTCTACCTATTTGCTGATCTAAAAATGTTTTCAATTACCATCAAATAAAATTGCTACAGATCCAGAAGTTACGTCCTGTTTATCCTTTTTATACCTTCATCGTAGTGCCTACTATAGATTATGTGTGTTCCATTTTCTATGAAAGGCCAGAGAGTAAGTATTTCAGGCTTTGCAGGCCATATGGTCTCTGTCAGAATGACTCAGCTCTCCCCGTGTAGCTTAAAGATCATCTGGGTCAAATACTTACCCGATATAGAAATGAAATACAAGTTCTATAATACAGGCTGTCACCGTTTTGGGGGCCTGAAAAAGATGTCACAACTTGGGCAAAGAAGGTACAGCACACACAACTGGGCTAACTTGGGTGTATCTTTCCCCTTTGCAGATCTGTCCAACTCAACGGTCAAACTCTGAAGATGGTAGATGATCACACTCTCCCAGCTTTGACAGAAAAACCTCTCCACCCAGGAAGTACACTGGGCTTGCCAGCTTTCTCCTATGGGTTTTTTGTGATAAGGAATGCCAAAGTTACCGCTTGCCTCTGAAAATGAAAGGCATACACCAGCCCTGAGATTGAATTTTTCAAGTGTTTGATAAGAGGGGAGCAAAGCCCAAGCTATAGGAAGGCAAGCAGACAACATTACAGATCAGCCAGGGAAGCTTTAAGGACATTGGGACACTTGCGCGGTGCTAGATTTAGCAGTCTTTTGTTCTAAAGTAGACCACTGCTAATAATAATGCCTGGTGCCAAACACTATGCTCAGTGCTTTGCATGTTCTATTTTTACTTAAAGTTATTAAAAAGGTATATGGATGCTCCCAATATAGCCAGGAGGCAAGTAAGTGAAGGATACAGGACTATTTTTAAGAAAGTGCTTAGTTGTTTTTATTTTAAAAAAGCAGTTTAAAAAAAGACTGCAGGATTCTTTACTCTATATGCTGTCTCTGCGTGCTCCCAGCAGAAAAAGTTTACTGCCACCATCTTCAAACTGTCTATAAATGAGTGACAGTCTCTTATCACCTTAACAGAGAGCTAGATTTAGCTGCTGCTTCTCTTCTCACTGTTCTTTGTCAACAATACTGTGTGAGAGGACAGATGGCTAGAAGTGATAGTATAAAAAAAGAATTAATGACAATTCAGAGGGGCTGGATTACGTAAACTTCAAATGAAATTTTAAAGTGACTGTAAATGAAATCGACTTACCAAGAGGAGAAAAGGTAATTCGATACATTATAACCACCTGTTACTGTTGACTTTTAATCTACCTTTAGTTGTTATTTTTGTTGGGAGACTCTCCGATGCAAGTGGCAGAAAACCCTGATTCAAGTGGCTTATACCACGAGGATATTTATAATCCTACAGAACAAGAAGTTCAAGTAGGGTGGGCTCAGGATGTCACCCAGGAATCAGGTCGTTTCCATCTCTCTGCTCTGTCACGTTTAGTGTTGGCTTTATTCTCCAGCTGGTGACGTGATGGCTGGAGCTATTCCATGGACCCATTCAGACCCAGCAGCAGCCAGAGAAAGAAGATGAGCAGCTTTTTCTGCATCTCCTTCATAGACTTGAAAAGCCCTGTCTCAGAGGTTCTCTCAGCGAACCCCCCCCCTCATGTCTCCTCGTGTCTTATTGGTCAGGAATGGGTCACACGGCCATTCTTCCTGTCACTACCAACATCAGTGAGAGCCTTGTAATTGTCTCCTAGTGATCTTTTGGAATGGAGAGTATGTTGGGAAGTCCATGGCACTGGCCACTATACTTCTGTGCTTTTATCAGTGACAGAAGGTATTATTTTCTCCTTTATCTTACTTTCTAGAGATAGAATTCTCTTTATATTTATGCCTGCTATGAATATTGTCTCTATTAAAGTTAAGTATATTTATAAAGAGATAAAGACAGAACCCAGAGTCTGAATGCTTCAGTACCCTAAATTTTATAAGTAGTTTTTATATTTTCACATTCGAAATCAAGTAATTTTTATAACCTCAATATTGCATGATTATTCTTTTAATAACACTCAAGCATGGAAACAAACAACCTTAAGCCTGCAGGTCCCTTTATTTGCAAGCTTTATTTTCCTTCAGCACCTTGTTTATACTTCCTACTTTTCTCTCTCCCTTCAGCTTCCCCCACATCAGAAGAGTTGACCTTGAAGAAAAGAGATCATCAGACACAAACACAATATCCTCTCTGATCATGTAGATTCAAAAATGAGCAAAGTCCTGTCCAATTTTTCTTTTCCCTGTCCCCTCTGCCACTTAATAAATTTAAAGCTTAATCTCTCACTTGTATTATTATAATACTCTCTTAATTGTTCTCCCTGACTTTGCTTAAAATTCTAAGATGGTTCCCCACTTCGTATAGTCACAATAAGCTGCCCCATAACATGGCACCTGCCTCTTTCTTCAGCCTCAACTCTTGTTACTCTCACCATGAATTCTGTTCCCCAGCCCACACATTGGTTGGGGGTCTGAACCTTTGGTGCTGCTCCTTCTGTTCTTCACCCAGACTAGTCTCCTAACTCTCCTCTCTATGTGGCAAATTTTCATGTTCATTAAGACCTTCTCTGGGGCTCCTGAGTGGCTCAGCCAGTTAAGCCTCTGACTCTTGATTTTGGCTCACGTCATGATCTCATGGTTTGTGGGATCAAGCCCCTCATTCAGCTCTGTACTGACAGCATGGAGCCTTTATGGGATTCTCTCCCTCCCTCTCTTCCTGCCCCTCCCCTGCTCATGCACACACATGTGCTCTCTAAATAAATAAATAAGTAAAAATAAGACCTTCTCAAACATCAGTTTCCATAACTCCCCTATCATTTAAGAAGCTTTATTCCCATCTGTTTGTTCCTTTAGCAGTTGAACATTTACTATGTCACTTAATGCATTTTAATTGTATCCATATATCTTTCCAACTTGACTCTAAGTTTATAAGAAAGAGGTACAATATCTAAATCATCTTTGCATTCCCTGTACTTAGCATATTGTCTGACACACAGTAGCCACTCAGATGTTTCCTTAATGACAGAGAAGAATAAATTTGAAACTAGCCTCGGTATTTTAACTTTTAATGTGCAGAAAAGGTTAATGTAATTTCTCTTTGCCCCTCTGATAACACTCTGTCTCTCTGCCTCTTGAAAATGAATGTTTAAAAAAATGTTTTTTAATTAAATAAAATAAAAAGTCTTAAAAATGATTACTAGTGAGCTCTTACTAATGGTAGATGGTTATGGGGGCATGGCTATGTGAAGAAAGGAGTGCTCCTAGTTATATATTAGTGAATATTATATGTATTAATATTAAGGTTTTCTTAAGCTTCCTGAGAAGAAACTATTGCTTATAGTGTCAGTGAGATGTTTTAAGCCCACACACTTCCACTGGTATTTAATTAATCAAGTACATTTATTTCCTACATCTTCTTATATTGGTTCAACTTAATTTTTGTCTTTTATCACTTTATCTCCTTGATATTGGTAAGTTCTAAGTCCTGTTGTGAAACTCGTGTGCTCAGGGCTTGTCCATTCAGTAATGATACTCCTTTTTTCTTTTTCTGAAAACAATGATGTATCCCATCAATCTGTTGAATCCTCTCATGGCTGGTCAACCTTTATATCCTTCTGGCCCTAATTTTGATTACCAACAAAGAGAACACAAACACTCATCTGTCTAGTGTGACAATGTGGTACAAAATCAAAGCAGGAGTGTTTACAATTAAATAGCAGAATGAATGACTCCTTTCAACTGCAGGCATATTTAGTGATCCTTTAGAAAATGTTACTGATGATGTGCAAACCAACTCACTCACTCCATGTCTGGGTCAGAGACTTGGGGTTCTTTCAAGGATAAAATACTCTGGTCTTGTCCTTTTCCAATTTTATAACATTAATTTTACAGACTTATGGGTTGGAAAACCCTGGAGAAATTTAGATACTTAAAAGTTTAACGTTATTTAAAAAACCTTTTCTATTATTGTCATTATTAGTATAATATTAAACGCTATAAATTTTTATGACACCCTTGATTTAAATCAAATTTGTTCTTTATTTTCACACATTTGATGAAAGCCCACTAGTTTTTAATTGGTTTTTAGGTTACTTTTTTTTTCAGGGATAGGTTACATTGTTAAATCCAACTTACATATTTATTTAAATTCCCACAGACCTTTCAAAGGACAATACCCCAAGACTAGTTTGTCCCATTCCACAGCACTCCAAACTTAGTAAGGCAAACTTGCATCTTTAACACATTGCTTCAAACACATTTTCAAAACTCTTATACATCTAGTAAATCACACACAAAGTTAGCAAATTAAGTGTCATAAGCACTTACTGAGTTGAAGCTCCTAAACATTCAGGCATCTTTCAAAACCAAATGATAGTAAAATCTATATAACTACATCTTAGATAAAAATATCATTTCTCCAAGCCAAAGTTATAAATTTACTCCACTGGCCAGAATTAACAAAATTACCAATTCGGGTCCACTGCTCCGATTAAGGCAACAATCAGGTGTTTAGGGAGTCTAGAAACAGGATACAGACCCACTAGCATATTAGGCTCAGCCCCTTCTCATGCTTAGGTGTCAGGTGCTGGGGGTTTGTCCAAAGCAAGCCTGAGACCCGCACTTAGGGTTAGGTAATGTTAAGGGAGAGATTTCGGGAAGCCGGGGTGAGAGATCGGGGAGAATGGAGTGGAAGACATGGAGGTAAGGTCTGTTGCCAAGTTTCCTGCAGTATGCAACAAGAGCACGAGCACGGAACATGGCTGCCAGTACTGCTGAGAAGCTTACCGGGTGCCTCCCCGAGTTTTTCTTTCATTATTCTCATATTTCTCAGCAACTATCATTTTATAGGCACTAAATTGCCAATTATAATTTCCATAAAGAACATCAGCTTCAAGTAAAATTGTTTTAAGACTTGAAGTAATGACACTTAATGATTCTTCTATTTAAGCTCAAAAGTCACTTTCACAACTTTAACATCCCATTTGGGGAGTCAAATGATATTTTTTTAAAAATATAGGGGCACCTGGGTGGCTTAGTCGGTTAAGCGTCCGACTTTCGCTTAGGTCATGATCTCGCGGTTCGTGGGTTCGAGCCCCGCGTCGGGCTCTGTGCTGACTGCCAGCTAAGAGCCTGGAGCCAGTTTCAGTCTGTGACTCCCTCTCTCTCTGATCCTCCCCTGCTCACGCTGTCTCTCTCTCTCTCTCTCCTAGAAATAAATAAAACATTTTTTAAAAAAATCTAAAACACCTTCTTGAGGACTCACCCCTCAAATCCGATGAAATGTAGTAGAGATGTAAACATTTTCTAAGGATCAAATATTATGATGAATATAGAAGTACTTAAACTAGGTAAACCTGTTTAACTAAAGGATACAGATACAGTGGTCTTCTTCTATCCACAGGGGAGAGTTTTCCAAGACCCCCAGTGAATGCCTGAAACCATAGGTTGTACTAAACCCTAAATATACTGGTTTTTTTCTATGTACGTATGCCTACGATAAAGTTTAATTTAGAATTTATAGGGTTAACATTAAAAACTAATAACAAAATAGAAGTTATAACAATATACTACAATAAAAGTTGTTAATGTCGTCTCCCTCTCTCTCTCAAAATATCTTCTCATACTGTACTCACTCTTCTTGTAGGACACCCTTCTTCTTGGGAGATGATAAAATGCCTGCGTGATGAGATGAAATGAAGTAAATTGTGTAGGCACTGTCATGTAGCCTCAGGCTACTACTGACCTTATGATTTGTCAGGAGGAAGATCATCTGCTTCTTCAATGACAATTGACCTCAGGTAAATGAAACCACTGGAAAGTGAAAGCATGGAGAACAGCGAGCGGAGTGGAAGGGAAGCGGATTACCATAAAGTGAAATGTGCTGCTTGACTCATCGTTTAAACAAATATCTGTGGAGTGAATGAATTCATTCATTATCTACCAGGTGTTATGCTCCTGTTTTAGGTACGGTTCTCTAGAAAAATAAAACCAGATTATATATGTGTGTATACATATGATATACACATATATAGGATTTATTTTAAGAATTGGCTCACATGATTATGGAGGCTGGCAAGGCCCACATCTGCAGAGTAGGGTAGTAAGCTAGAGACCCAGGAAAGAGCCTCAGGAGACACAGGAGAGAGGAGGGAGGCTGGAGATTAAGATCAATCACTGCTAATCAACGATTTAATCAATAGTGCCTATATAGTGAAGACTTGATTAAAAAACTCTTGAACAACAAGATCCAGAGTGCTTCCTGGTTGTTGGACATGTTGACAGGGCAGGAGGGTGGGTCAGTCTGACTCCACAGGGATCTTTCTGTGTTTTGGACCCTTCTGAACCTTGCCCTCTGTATACCTCTTTATCTGGCTGTTCATTTATATCTTTTACAATAAAATATAATCATAAATGTAGTGCTTCCTTCTGCTCTATGAGTCATTCTAGAGAATTTCATACCTGAGGGAGGATCACAGAAATACCTAAATTTGTAATCCAAATTGCAGAAGTGAAATTAGCCCGAACACCCCATTTGTTGCTGCCATCTGAAGTAGGGACAGTCTGGGGGGACTGAGCCCTTAAATAACGGGGTCTGCACTAAGTCTGTCCAGTGAATTACAGAAATGAGTTGAATTTAGGACACACAGTTGGTTTCAGAGGTTAGGAGAGTTGGGAATTGCTGGGGAAACAACACAGAGCTTAAACTAGAAATCTAGTTTGGGCTGTAACTACGTGTCCATATCAGGGAGATAAGAAATTTTATCATCCTTCTGGATCAGGCAATTCACTAGACAAAGGGCTATAGATCTGATCTTCGTGGTATGTAGAAAGTAAAATATTTCTAGGGGAAGTGAAGGTGAACATTCTCTATCATTATACTATATACAGCTCTGTATCTCAGCAGGCCAGTTTGTTTCATAGGAGCCCTGAGAAATTCAGGAAGATATGTTTACCTACACCTCAGAACTTTGTATGTGCTCTTATTTTATT